TAAAATAAAATAAAATAAAATAAAAAAAAAAAATATTTAAAATAAGAGATAATAATAATCATTGATATTGATGGTACCGATGGTACTGATGTGTGTCTCCGTTTAAACGCAGCTATCGGGAAATGTGTCGAAACGATGTCCTTTCGTGAATTAGCGTCGTACCGCAATAGAAGCCGAATTATCATCAAATATGTCATCGCGCATTATGTATTTGCATTTGAAATGCAGCATTAAACGTCAACGAGTAACGTTTCTCTCTCTCTCTCTCCCCTCTCTCTCTCCCCTCTCTCTCTCCCCCCCTTCTCTCTCTCTCTCTCTCTCTCTCTATCTCTCTTGTAAACGTAGTACCACCCACGTAACAAGAGAAGTCGTCGAACAATCTAATAATCGATCTCGACATGCGGATTTCGTTTACAGTCGTAATTTGTTATCAATCGGCAAATCAATTAGCCCGGATTAGTAATTATTACAATCGTAATTCGTGATCTATCAGAGTACGCTAAATTTATTAGTTAGCAAAGGTTGAACGAGCTTCATTGGGATCAAGCGTTTAGCTATCCATCCAACCCGTTCGTCGTAAATTTTTTTATTCTACGTAAAGAAATATTTCTTTTATTTTTTTCTATTTTTTTTTTCTTTTCTTTTTATTCTTTTTCTTCTTTTTTCTTTCACAGAAAAAATACAGAGAGAGAGAGAGAGAGAGAGAGAGAGAGAGAGAGAGAGAGAGAGAGTGAGAGTGAGAGAGAGGAATTAGAATTAGCTAATTCTCATCGTGTTGATTGTCCTTTAAAATCGTAATGTGTTACCAATCGACATATCGATTAGTACGGATTAGTAATTATTAGAATCGTAATACGCGATCGATCGACTAGAATATGCTAATTAATTTTATGAAGTTAATCGATGATGATAAGCTTTATTGGGATAATGCGTTTCACATCTATTCCTCGTCATTATTTTTCTCTTTTGGATATTGAAGAATCACTTTTTCTTTCCTTTATTCCTTTTTTTTTTTTCGTCCGTTTTGTAGGGATCAAAGAAAGAGATAAAGATAGAGAATGACAGTGGGGATAAAGAAGAGATAAGATTAGAACGTGTTAGGATTAGTTGGTACGAAGAAGATAAAAAAAAAAAAAAGAAAAAAAACAAACAAAAAACAAAAAGAAGAGAAAGAAAATGAAGAAAAGAGAAACAAAGAAAAAAACAAAAAAAAGAAATCAATTTCAATTTCCATTTACGGACTTAACAGTGTTCGTAACAGTCACGCACTCATTATTTCCGAACAGTCAAATTTTCCTCTTGGTCGATTTTTTTTATTACTTATAAAGCATATCAAGATCAAAGACTAACGACGATGATAATAATCGAGCAACCAAATCAACGAAATTTCGTTTATTATGCTTTCGACTTTTCCCTTCCCCTCCTCCTCCCCCATCCCGTTTCTTTCCTTTCTTTTCTCTTTATGAAATTCAATCTCGTGTAATAATAAGCAATGATAGTTTCGATTATCTCTAATGAAGATTGAAAATTTTTGATATTTGTCAGATACAAGAATAATATTCTTAGATTGTTTCTAATTGAATTGAGGTTATGTCGTCAATTGAACAACTAGCATAATACGTTTCTCGAATTAATTTATTTATACAAAGTTTTTTAATTATTTATAAAAAAAAAATGATTGATTTAGAAAAAACAAACATATATATATATATATATATATATATATATAATTCATGGTAATAATAATAATAATAATAATAATAATAATAATAATCGTATGTGTAATCCATAAATATCATAAAAGCCGACAAATTCATTATTATACAGGATCATTATATCGTAAATAATATTAAATCAAATTAGATTCGTTGAAAAATCAAAGAAAATCACTATTATTACATCGTTATATCCTACATTATTCTAATTTAAACTGAACTGATTACGAACTGAACTGAACACGTTGTAATATCATCATTATATATCAAAAAATTATAAAACTGAAATAGGCTCGTATAAATATCAACAATAGTCACTTTCACTTTACCATTAAATCATAATCAATTATGTTTTATTATAAATATAATGTGAGGTATTATAAATAAAATGTATAAAAAATTATATCAAATCGTTCAACTTTTCATGTTATCTGTGAAATAATCATACACACTCTCTCTCTCTCTCTCTCTCTCTCTCTGTCTCTAACTAAATCTATCTATCTATCTATCTATCTATCTATCTATCTATCTATCTATCTATCTATCTATCTATCTATCTATCTATCTCTATTTCTCTCTTTACTCATTACAGTCATATGCAAACATATAAATTTTAGAAACGAACTATGATGGACAGGAAAGTGGGATATAGCGCAGATGCGGAAATAAGCACACAAACTCACGCTCAGTATAACACATACACATATATAGACATCAACCAAACACTAGCAAGAGCCCGCATATCTAATCGTGCGTATCACGGGGTACAAGCAATTCCCATCAACCAATATTGTCGTGTGGGTAATGAACGG